TGGATTAGTTCACATCTGCTAGGAATCACTACTCCCCTGGTAAAAATGGCCATGGAAAATCCACGGTTTATGGTTTATGGTAAAAATGCCATGGATTTTGCAAAGGAAAGCTCCAGCTATGAGTTCGAGGATTTTCCAGCCACGTTTGATGACCCGAGGGGAATCAAAGAAAAATCTCCGAGTTTTTCAGATCCTCGTTGTCCCCAAAACTTGTTGTTTTGATCCTGTAACGTCCCTGAAAAAAATGGCCCTGAGAAGCAGGAGATACCATGAGATACCTGCCAGTTGATCTTTTCACAACTCATCAACAAAACCGTCATTTATTAGTTATAACCCCATATCTTTGATAAATAAAACCTATTTTCAACCCCCAAAATGTGATGCACTTCCATTAAAAATCCATAAAACTTGCTAGTGATAAAGTATGTCGTCTCTGGTAAAGTAACATAACTATGGAAAATCACAATTTTTCAGAGAAAATTCACTATAAATGGCTATTTTCAATAGCTATGTTAGTTTACCAGATGGCTTTTTCAGCCCATATATCATGATGGTCAAGTCCCATCGAGCCCACTATAATGATGCCCAATCAACCATGAATTACTGCTGATATCCCCGGTAAACGTTTACAGTTTGCCATTAAAAATTGCCATTGAAATAGTGAGTTTTCCCGGCTATAAAATGGTGATTTTCTATAGTTATGTAAAGGTTTACCAGAGGGTATATTCCTGCATATTTCATGATTACAACAACTTATTAGCCCCACTTGGAGGATCATCCCACTTCAGAAGTGACTGATAACCCTAGTAAGTTCCAATTCGTGGGGTTATCCCATGTACATATATATATATATATACATGTATATACAAGGTGGTGCCCTGGTTTATAACTCCAATTTCACTATGGTTGATGGTAGATATATCGAACTACTTACTATCAAACTACGGTTTATACACCAACAAAAAAAACTGGGAGGCACCACCGCCCGTATAAATCGATATCTATATCTAACTGGCTAGTATAACTATGCGACTACTCATCGGTCGAGGATGATCTCCCAAGTCTCTAAGAGCTTCATCAAAAATTGGCTAGAACTACCCTCCAGTAAATTAACATAGACCCTGCCAGTCATCGGGGTTGAAAGACTAGTTAAACCACTATAAATTGGTCAGTTTCAGGGTCGAACTGTTAATTTACCAGAGGGTAAATAGAATGGGATGATTATCATAGCATCTTTTTAACTGGGAATGATTTAGAATAACTATATTTTTTTGGGGGGGGATATAGATACAATGAAACTAAAACTAAAACTATAATATCATATTACTATAATGGGATGATTTAGAATGACTCCCCAGTGCCCAGTCATGGATGATTTCACTGGGTGGCATTGGCTTTACCAGCTGAATCCTGACAAGGTGAAGACCGTCAGTGATGATTGTTTATGAACCCATCAACTCTAGTTCTATTTCCCATAAACCCAACAGTTCGGCAAGTGAACTGTGCGTCAAACTTAGCTATCGCAAACAACCGGGGCCTCACCCTGCATCTATCACTATTCTTGGATGATTCTCCCAGCTAGAAGCCTCCATTTATAGTGGATTTGCCCATGTTCTCCCAATTTTTATTATGATTTTTCCATTGAAAATGTAATTTTCCCATGAACATGGTCAAATTTCCCCGCTAACCTACCACGGCCATGATGACACCGACCCGTTCGTAGCCATCGCACCTGTTGCTTCGTGAGCCGTTGGATCAACGAACTCGTTTCAGTCTCGCACGAGCTGGAGTCGGCGGAGGTCGAGGACAGCAAAAAAAGTAATCTGGACAGGTGCGGGCGGCGGCGAAGCGGGTGATTTTGTGGCAGTTTATGGTAGATAGATACGTACATATTATATATATATATACACATATATTTATTATTATTATATATATATACATATATTTATTATTATATATATACATATTTATTATTATATATATATTTATTCTTATATATTGATATTTATTATTATTATTGTTATTATTATTATTATTATCATTATTATTATATATATATATATATTTATTATTATATATTGATATTTATTAAAATATATATATATATACACATATGAAGTATATTATTATATACTGTACTATATATATATATATTACTTATTATTATTTATATATAGTATATTATCATATACTATATATATGTATATCATGTTTCATTTAGCATATTATATATATACTATATATATGTATATTATATTGTGTATATATAATATTATATTACATTATATTAAATTTTATATCCTACTATATTATATAGATATATAGATATAGCTAGTTGTCTGGGTTGCAACCATGTACATTGATGTTGCATTTTGGAATATGGGAAACTGATGAGAAAAATCAGTGGATTTACCCTTAAAATCTCATATATGGGGGTTTCCAGTCCATGGGGCACCCCAAGGGCTATATAGTTTATTTCATGGAAAATCCGAAAATTACATGGATGAGAACTCCATATCGAAACCTCCATTTCGGGAAACCTCCATATCGAATTAGTTATAATGGTATGGTGGTCTATGGATGTCTATGGTGGGGCCACAGTGAGCGATTCATCGCTAAGTTTGTAAACTTTTGCCTAGGTCTAGATGAAGTCTATGATTTATGAATACCAAACTAGTTAATGGGGTGAAACTAAACCAACAAACATAACTGTGGGGAACCACTTTGTGGTGGGCCTATTTTCATGTCATGGGAATAAATTTTTACTTTGGAACAACTGATTTTTCATGGGGATTACCCTCTGGTAAACGTTTACATAACTATGGACAATCACCATTTTATAGCTGGGTAAATCAACTATTTCGACTGGGCCATTTTCCAGTTCGCAAACTGTAACAGTTTTACCAGGCCGGGTATGCCTAACTTTGCTTCGTTGGATTGGATTGGGCACCGTCCGAAAATCGGAAACCATGGATTGAGACACCTTAAACAAAATACCATTGATCTTCATTAAATGGGGAAAAGATGACAGGGAAAATGGTACAGAAAGGAAAGCATGCAGTTTCCAAGTAGGGTAGGATCAGTAGGGAACATCCCAGGATTGGAGGACAAAAAAACATCAACATGTTGGTCAACCAAAAGCAATGAATCAATGCCTGGATTTACCGAAACTTCAATTTTTTTTACGATGAGATTCTACGGGAAATCATGTTTTTAGATTGGAAAATCTACGGGATTTCCTCGGCAGTTCCCGAAGAACCATGGGTTTTACCAAAGGAAAAACTCCGGTGCAACGAGGGATGATTTCTGTCAATGCGCCTACTGAGCCCAATGGGAAACTGCAGTTTTACCCACCACGCAATTTTTCGATTTCATCTGCAGCATCCCAATTTTGAAGCTGAACCCTTTGTTAACTGTTGGGTGCCATGGGGAATATAACAAACTATAGTTACTGCAATGGCTTTATAAACCAACTTATAAGTGGGGGTGGCCTCACCTTGTAGTGAACTTGCAGTGAACTTCCAGCGATTCCCCCAAATGATGTAATGATGTTCCATTCGGAAAGTAAAGAATAATATTTTAAAAAAAACCAGGTGACACTTAATGTTCTACTTCCGCATCTTGAATCCACCAAAGAATCCGTCAGAAAACTCACGAAACGCCAAGGCACAGCCAATGTTTGGCAAAGTTCATGGCGTGTTTCATGCGTCAAAAATGAAAACGGTTCATGTAGAAACGACTCGGTGAACTAAGCCGCCGTGTCGCTTGAGCCAACCGATCATTGCATGAGGAAAATCCCCAAACGTGATGTGAACGTTGGTTGTTAAACCATAGGAATAGTATATCTACCATAAACCATAGTGAAATGGGAGTTATGAAGGCACGAACATAGCGTTTTCACAGCTCACTGGGGCACCACCTTGTGCAATTGCTTCTATCGGCATGATGGTTAACATATGTGTTTGTCTGAGAATAGGAACCCCCAATGTCCAGTGATTAATCACTATTCTCCCTATATTAAAACGGCAATTTGGGGGTATGTCAGTGATTTTCAGACACACCCATATGTTACCCTCTGGTAAACTAACATAACTATGGACAATCACCATTTTATAGCTGGGTAAATGAACTATTTCTATGGCCATTTTCAATAGCTATGTAACAAATTACCAGAGGATTTGGGCTGCCAAATTGATCCCTTCCCCTAATATTAGATATCAGCCTAAAGAGCGAACTGCGTTCAACTGCGTTCAATGGTGATTCTTGGAAGCGGATCAGAAAACCATCCAATCTTCATGACTATCCACAGGTTTACCCAGTTTCTAAGGTGAATTCTGAGACATGACATGTTCATCAAACATCTCATTGCATAAACATGAATCTGGCTAAATTATCATCAATCACTAACCTGAAATGTTGGGAAGAAACATTCACCATCATTCCAGGCTTCAGTCGCAGTGAGGTTGTTTAAAGTTTACCCATAACGGTCGTTACAATTTACCCATTGATAGTTGATTTCCCATTCAAACCTCCATTTAGTTCTGATTTTCCTATGATTTTCCCATTGAAACCACCATTCACTTCATGGATTTCCCAACCATCTATCAGTTATATTTAGTTATATCTAGTTACATCCAGTTCTATCTAGAATCTAGTGATATCCAGTTATATCTTCATTTTAACTCATTAATCAATGGGAATTTCAGGATCCTACAATGGAGGTACCTACCATATATAAGGCCTATTTTTCAGGCCTAAATTTCAGGGGATATCCCCCCAAAATATGGTCGAAAATATGGTACTAACGTACCTCCACCTGTTGGATCCTGGAATTCCCATTGATCATCTATCAACATCTATCCCCATCTCTTTGATGGAAAACCCTTACATGAGCCATATATATGGTAGTCACCTGTAGGTACCTCCATTTTAGGATCCTGGAATTCCCATTGAATTAAGAATCCTGAGTTCCCAACCATTCCCCCGTCATTCACTTCGATTCACCGGCCGGAGATCACTAACATCGTGAGCATCCCGGCTGTGATGTCGTGATCGTAGGCCTCGTTCACCTTGGGGAACTGCGATGGGCGCCATGAGGATATTGCTGGGGACGTAACTGGTAAATGCACCTTGATTTATGGGATTTATTGGGATTTAATCATCAATCATAGGTTTTTTTTCAGATTTTATGTTGATCCAACATGATCGAAGCAAGAACTTCAATGGGGATTTGGATGGATTTATAGTTTTCCGAAGTCTTGGGGGTACCCCCAGTCATCACGACTGAGCATCCCCCATGACTACCATCGAACTTTTGAAACACAGCCATTTGAACATTTGAAATAGGCTGCCTAGTGGATCAAACACATATATGGACAAACCACATTTGTGACTTTTAAGTCAGAGACCATCATTTTTTAGAGGTCAACACACAATAGTGCTACGGCTATAACAACGTTTTTTCAGCAAACCAAATCACGACTTTTGATTGAGAGGGGTGCGTCATTAAGATAGGAGAATCCTCCAGTTGCATCATTATTGTTGATTTGAATCCCTCTTATCGATGGTTGAATCCTCATTAAACCCCATTAAATCAACATTTTGCTATATAATAAAGGGAATGAAATCCTACCATCCATGAAAAATGGGAATTCATCCATGAGTATTTCATATGTTTTGCACCAATTCTTATGGTTCATGATGGTTTTCTATAGAATTCCATATGGTTATGAGTCAAAACCCTGGCGCCCTGCCGAAAAATAGCTGGTCAATGAACGTTTATTATCCCAAATATGGTAATCATAGGGTATGTTGAGGGGTTGGATCATGATGTTCAAATTCCAAGATGCACATTCGTAGACCCACCGCTTGAGGAAATTATTTAAGGCCAATTATTCAAAAAACAATATTCCGTAACCCAGTTGATACCCCCGGAGTATGTTTTAAGGGATCCCGCATGGTTTTGACCCATCCCTCATCTCTTTTTTCATGGTTATAACCGTTATAACCCCCATTTCACGTCATTTTGTTTATGGTAGATATATCGCACTACTATTCCGTCATGGTGAAATAACCCACTTGAATACATACTAAAATAGACCCATCCCAAATGTGTATCCCATTGATCATAGAATATAAGCAGACTATTAAGCCTCATAGGTTTTGAACTTATGATATGGCCATATATCATATATTATTATTATAGATATAAGCCATAGGGTTTATGAGGGTTATATCAGGGATATTATAGAGTATCTATGGTTCATAAGTCCAATATCTAGGGTTTATGAATGGGTTTAAAATCAATGGGAATTTCAGGATCCTAAAATGGAGGTACTGTACCATATTTCAGGTTATATTTTGTGGGGATATTCCCTTACATAGGCCTGAAAAATAGGCCTTATATATGGTAGGTACCTCCAATTTAGGATCCTGAGATGGCCATTGATATTATAGATCTTGGACTTATGAACCGACTCATAGGTTTTGATATGGCCATTATTGGTTGGGTGGTTGAGCCCTACCCCTCTGAAAGTTATATTTTTGTTCGTCAGTTGGGATCTGTTAAATTCCCAACCGAATGGAAAATCAAAAAAGCCATGTTCCAAACCACCAACCACTATGTAGTTCGATATATCTACCATATATCCCCCCAAAAATCCCCTACTATATCCCCAGTATATTCCATATATATATATATATATCATCTATATCATAATGACATCAACTATTAACCCACTATATATATTTAACCCACTATTAACCCACTATTAACCATTATTACGGGTTAACTATTATAGTTACTATTAACCCACTACATTACTATATATCTGGGTAAATTATAATATTTCACTAACCTGAAATAAGGCCATTTTGGGATGATTCCCCTTACTAACCATGATTCCAGTCAGGTCGCAGTGAGGTCGTTATAATTTACCAAGATATATCTAATATAATTTACCCAGATATATTCTACATATATTACATTATTATAGTTACTATTAACCCACTATTAACCCTTAGCCGGCCAAACTCCAGGCATCTAAAAGTTTGAACTTTCTACCCAAAATAGCTGTGCAAGTCTCACCTCGCACGTGCCGCATCTTTTAACACTGGAGGGCTAAGGGCTAAGGGCTAAAGGTATCACATTTTCGCCCCTTGAAAATCAAAACAATGGCGTGAGGTTTGTAATGGGGCTTATGGCCGGAGTTCTTGTAGTATGAAAATGCGATGTTTTCACCTTCGTTTGAAACTGTGTCTAAACTTGTGGTGTTTTGAGTTTGGCAAAGTATGTCAGAGCAATGGCCTTGAAATGCCATGTTGGGGATCAATCGAAATAAACAAATGTTTTAGCCGAACAGCATGTTCCGAAATCCGCAAAAAAAAAGAATATTGAACATGTTGGCTGGGACCAAGAAGGTTTCAGGACATCGTTTCGCGCGAACGCGTCTGGTTGTGCTGGCTCGAAACCTAGTTTAGGTTTTTACTATCCCGTGGGGCAACTTGAACCAGGTATGCTCGAAACAAACTTCCAGCACGGGCACTCTAGGTAGCACACCCGAGCGGACGCAACTGGTTGTGTTGGCTCGAAACAGCTTTTCAACCAAACACCAGTTCAAGCATACGTCGCTTCAAAAAGACCAGCTATGTGCAGACACCATTGTTTGCGCTTTAAACAAAACTTGGACGCGCTCCAAACTCCAAAAAGTTTTTCCTCAACGCTGGCCGCAAAGATATGCCGCACTCTCTGAGTGCAGGAGCGCCACTACTTTCTGCCACTCGCAGCAAGCCGCTAACGCGTTATTTTCTCAAGAATTGGGCAAATTAATTAATTCTAGTTTTTACTCTCTCCTCACCCTTGGAGATGTTGCTATCTCCTCGCCCCAGCAGAAGCTTGACATCGCTGGCGGTTGCACGGCAACTTCACCATACATAACATCGAAGAAACTATGATCAAAAGGCAGGCTACACAAACAAGTTTAAAAGTTAGGTATTGGACTGCTAAGAACCCACATTTTATCCCCAATATATATATATATTCATTTGCCGTGTATTTCCACAAACAATCTCTTGGTTCCCCCGCATCGCTACAGAGCACCGTGAAGGTGCCACTGTGCTGCACCTCTGTACGAGAACTCCACCAATGGTGGTGAACCATATAGCTATTGAAAATGGCAATTTGTAGTGAGTTTACCCATTGAAAATGCTGATTTTCCATAGTTTTTTGTAAACGTTTACCAGAGGGTATGGTTAAATGATGGTTGAATGATGATTTAATGTTGATTTACAATGGGGATAGAAGTGGACATAATGGCCTACATATCAAAAACCCTAACCTAAACATACAAAAAGATGTGGAAACCCCAGGGTTTTCATAGGAACATGATATACATTCATGGTGGGTAAACTCCACAATGTTGGTTTACCCTAGGGTAACTGGTGGTTTGGGACGACAAACAAAATTTGGTATCCTGTTTTTTTCTTTTGGGGGATGATCAAATGGGATAATTAACAGCTTAATTTGAGCCAATCATGGTTTAATAATGGTTAAATGATCCCATTTGATTTTCTTAGATGATGGATAATATAGACATACAATAACTATGGTTATTCCCATCCTTATAGAAAGCCTAGAAATATTTAGAAGTAATATAACCATATAATCACTATGGTTATCATCATAGTTATACCACTCTTATGCCTATGCAAAACTGTGTTTTTTTAAGATTTGATTCACACGCCATATCATGGCCAACCAGCCAGATACCCTGCAAAAAATAAGAATTCATAGATGGTTAGTGAGTAGATAATCCCATACCAAAAGACTATTTTGGATTAGTTCAACTACCCAACCCAAGATTATCCCATGAACATTACCCTTTAAACTGATGTTTTAACATGAATCTTACCCCATTAACATCCATTAACATCAAATTATCATGCATTAACATTCATTAACATTACCGATACATTACCATTTCCTATGGGTTTTCCTATGGGCATCCATCATTAATCTTATCCCATTAAGATCCATTACCCTCTGGTAATGACTAACAGTTTGCTATTGAAAATTTGACCCATTGAAATTTCGTTGATTTATCCATTAGTAGCATGGTAATTTTCCATGGTATGGGTTTTCCTATGGGATTAACATCAAATTATCATGCATTAACATCCAAGATTGACCTAGTTTTAAGTGGGAATCTGACAACGCAATTGAACCACCAAACCTGGGTATATCCATCGAGCCAACAGTCAGCTGATCCAACCAGTTGAACAACTTATGGCTGTTTGCCCGGCCTGGTAAACCATAGGAAAACCGTAGGAAAACAATAGGAAAACCATAGGAAAACCATAGGAAAATCGAGATTTACCCTCTGGTAGACATGCAAAAAACTATGGAGAATCACGATGTTATAGCTGGGTAAATCAACTATCAATGGCAATTTTCACTAGCAAACTGTTAGTTTACCAGAGGGTAATCTTGAATGAGGCCAAGGTTGTTCAACTTGGATTTCTATAAACATAGGGGTATCTCATTTCATCCACTGGTTCAGGAAATTTACCCAATGACATTGCAGCCTTTTGCTAAGGTTTACGAACCATTTTCACCCAAACACCCAAACCTTTTTTCAAGTTGGCTATTTATATCCCATTTGCATACCAGTCATGGGTGGTATATTGCCATGAAGTATCTCATCAAAAAATTAAATAGCAATCTTATCGCCATTCAATAACCATTTTATCAAACCAAGCAAACCTGAGTACCATGTGAGGGGGCCCCCACTTATTTTTGGTGGTTTATAAATCAATTGACTACATGCAATGTGAGGGTCCCAAGATATAAGTTGGTTTATAAGCCCCAGTAACTATAGTTATAAATACCATAAACCATAGTTATTGGAGTTATAAACCAACTTAGCTATCAAACGGGGGCCTCACATTGTGCAGTTCGTTGTATCACGTTGTATCCCCCTGAGCAACCCAACACTTCACCAAGTTATGTGCGTCAACTTTGCTATCGCCCATTGATTCGGACCCAGTAGAAGCTGCTGGCCCAGGGTGCTCCAAACATCTTACAGTTTTTTACGGACATTGAAGTTGTAAGAATCGATTTATAAGCCCCACGAATTAACTAGTTCGATATATCTACTAAACCCAGGCGAAATTGGAGTTACAAACGCGGCAACTTAGCGATAATGCCAAAAAAAGCGGAGGTACCACCTTGCTCGAAATCCCATAGATATCCCTGTTGTTCATGGTTAAATTCCCATATCTCCAAAATATTATCCGAATACATTCTATCCCCATTCTATCTTACTATAACCCAATTATATCCCCATCATGGCCCAGTTAGTTCGATGATTTACCAGTCTATCCCACTCTATCCCCATTTTTTTCCCCCATTGAAACGCTATACAAGATGGCGCCCCAGTTATAAACTGGTTATGAACCCATTAACTAGTTTGATATATCACCTATAAACCATAGTGAAATTGGAATTCTAAACTCCACAACTTAGCGTGAACAGCTCGCGGGGGCACCAGGTTGTACTATTAGATTATCCCATTAACATCCATTAACATCCATTAACATCCCATTAAAGTTCACCATCATTACTCACCAAACAGATACATTGTTCATGGTTAAATCCCATATCCCAATAATATCCTCATTAATACATTCTATATATATATATATATGGAGGTGTCCTGAAATGGGGGTACCAGCAAATCATCCTTTTTAGTAGGATCTTCGAGTACCATCCATTTTGGCGCCAGTTCAGGAAGAACCCATAAGGTGGTGCCCCCCCAGTGATGTGAACGTTGGTTAACAGAAACCATAGTAAGTAGTTCGATATATATATATATATACCATAAAATGTAGTGACATTGGAATTATGAACGCACCAACTTAGCGTGAACAGCTCCCTGGGGCACCACCGTAAGTATGACCACAAGAACTTTGAGGTGCATCGGTTAGTAATCAAAGTTATATATATATATATTGGCAAGTATTCCATTCATCTACCATGACATCCACTTGTATCCAGTCATATCCCCAATATATAGAAATGATCAACCACTCTTAGCTAGTATCAACCACCATTAACCACTATTAACCCACTATAAACCAACATTTTATCCCCAATATATATACATATATATATATATATACTTTGCCAATCTTTGCCGGTTAGTAGACAATTCCTTTGATACCAGAAGACCAAAGGATAAAAGTACCCATCCAAGGTTAATCTTATCATAGTTACTCTAAACCCCACTTATCATAGTCATGAACCATTCTGAACTACTATTAACCACTATAAACCACTATATTAGTTAACCACTATTAACCACTACTATTAATAGTAGTTAACCACTATTAACGTTACTATTAATAGTAGTTAACCACTATTAACCACTATATATATAATATCCCCATTGATACATTGGCAAGTTCACCACTTCACCGCGCCTCGCTGGCCAACGTGCGACTGGAGCTCTGGCCGAAGAGATGCAATTCGTAAGCCAAGTCCTGCGGACCAAAATGGGGGTTGGGGATGGAAACGTGGTGGAAACAGACCAACAAATGCTGAAGAATGATGGAAAAATAGTGGCAAAATGATGGACCATTATGAAAAATGATAGGGAAACGATGGAAAAATAGTGGCAAAATGATGGAAACATAGTGGAAAAATGATGGGAAAAATGATAGAATGATGGCAAAAAGGTGGAAAAATGATGGGGAAAATCATGGAAGATGGTGGAAAGACATCCCAAAAAAACATAGATGGAGTTCTAGAAGTCAAGTGAGAATATCGTTTTTTTGGGGATTTAATGTGATCCAAAATAAGGTGTTTTGAGATAATGAGAGACCTAGTGTGCTTGATCTTTCAGAATAGCAACATCTCCGATCCTGCTGGTCAAAACTGATTGAACAAACCCATTTTTCAATTTCATAGCCACCTCCAAACACATGCAGAAAACAGTGGCAAATTAAACCGTTCCTTACACTTCTTTTGGGTTGTTAATAGGACAACATCCAATCAAGAATCATTTATGAATCGAATCCTCGCAATTCATTTTTGCCTGGTTAAACCTTCTCAAATCGAGATCTCCTGTATCGACGCCCTCTCTAGGAGGGCGTGCGCCGTGTGCCTCCGCACTCTTCGACTCGGCTCGACTGCAGCCCATGTTGCTTGGCCAGCCAAATATCCAACATTAGGTACAATCGCCCAGACATAACATGGCCCAACATTGCTTCCATTGCGGCCTCCACTGGCGAGAGAAGCCAAACCGAGCAGCGTTCCCCATAGAAAGGCAGTGGCGTTGGGGTGCCAGGCACCGCTGTCCAGCCATAACCCACCATGACCAAGGCAAGCCGCGGAGCCTGCGCATTGGGCAATCGGAACGCAGTGCAACTGATTCTCTCGCAATGCATGACTCAACATGCGCTTGTAAAAGCGTGGCCCCTGGACCTCTCGTATCTCTGCGGCCTCGACATCGTCGTGCGAAGTCCATGATGTCCATGGGGTCCATTCCCCAGTCCGCGCTTGGGTACCACTTTGCTTGAAATCCCAGAGATATCCCTGTTGATGGTTAAATCCCATGTATATCCCAAGAATATCCTCATTAATACAATTATATCTCCATGATATCATATGATATCTTTATATTGGCCCATGTAGTTCAATGATTTACCTACTCGTACTGGTGATTTGCTATAGCTATTTTATAATAACACATTACAAGCGGGTAAATCTACATAAACCACACCCCCAAAAAAAGCCTAAAAGTGTTTGCAGCAGGAAACAGTTCCATGATATTCTGGTTGGTGGTTTTAACCATCTTGAAAAATATGAAAGTCAGTTGGGATGATGACATTCCCAATAAATGGAAAAATAAAAGCCATGTGGCAGCCATGTTCCAAACCACGAAACAAGTATTCAATAAGGTTTCCAGGTTTTCCACTATCATCCAGTTTTTGGAGTTGCTATACATAATCCAAATCATCCAAACCCCATTAATGTGGGCAACCCAATGCCATAAACCATCCCCAAAATCACAATTTTCATGGATTCTATAGACGATCCCCAAGGGGTAGGTTTATGGCACGGGTCAATTTTTTTTTCACCACTATTGCTGGAATCATTCCCACCCATTGATAGTAAACTTGGGAATGGTTTACTATTGCTTTACTCACATCCAAATCAGCTATGTCAACTCTAAATCCCCTTGTTTGATCATTTTTGTTGTTGTTTTTTTCCATCTTAAACCCCCATACAAATTCTGTGATTTTGGGGATTGTTGGGTTTACCACATTACTTAGGATTATTTGGCTCCCAACATCCATAAATCGCGTGATGTGCGCACACATTTGGGTGTGTCTGAAAATTGGGTAGCCCTAAATCCTCTGGTTGATGATTTCATCATGATGATTTCCCCCATGTGTCATAGCAATTCTAAGGGTATCCCCTATAGACAGACAGACCCGTCCATAAAAACATTGCCAATCTTAGATACCCTGCAAAAAATGAACAATCTTGGCTGGTTAGTAAGTAGGTAATCCCATACCAAAAGGCTAAAATACTATTCTGGATTAGTTAAACTACCCATCTACGATCATCCCATTCACATTACCATTTAAATTGATGTTTTAACATTGATCTAATCCCATTAACATCCATTAACATCCATTAACATCCATTAACATCCATTAACATCCATTAACATCAATTAACATTACCAATACATTACCAATACATTACCATTTCCTATGGATTTTCCTATGGGGATCCATCATTAAGACATCTTCTCCCATGAACATCCCATGACATCCCTAGCGGCGCGGCGCACCTGTTCACATGCGCGTTCCGCGCAGCTCTCGGAGCTCTGCGACAAGACGCCGTTGGTACAGGACAGCACCTGAGCGATCACGGAGCATCGGTCAACATTTCTATGAGATAATGATGGTTTTAATATGGTTTTATATGGTTTTAAAATGGATTTATATGGTTTAATATGGATAATAATGGGATAACAATGGGATAACTGGGATAACAATTGCTGGTTGGTGGTTGATCTACCCCTCTGAAAAATGATGGAGTGAAAGTCAGTTGGGATGATCAAAGATATGGAAAAAAAATGTTCCAAAACCACCAACCAGACTATATTGTGTGCCCGTAGGGCAACCGTCATCTTCACATGATATATCAGATCCTGTGCCCGTAGGGCAGCCTGCTGCGAATGACCCGTGGAAAGACGCTGGTCACCGGTGGCTTGCTGCGTCTCTGCCCAGCATCGCAGTTGTGCCTGTCTGAAGCATTCATATGTGAAAATCTACTCGTGCACATCTCGTGTGACAATGCACACGCATGATGCCGACTCTTCGGTTGCCATTAGCAAATCGTTTGCCTTCGGCAGTATTGAGAGGTTGGTTAGATTCAGGCTTGTTCCAGTGCACAGAAACAAACGTCCGCCGTCTAGATTTTGCCTATTCTGTATTTTTTGTGTAGGGAGCTAAAGGGTGGTGCATGTCCATGGGAAAACATGGGAATACAATGGAAAAAAAGGGTGCAATCATGTAGTGGGGATATGATTGGGATATGAGATTTAACCATCAACAATAGCGATCTAATGGGATCTTGATGCAAATAACTCCAGTAACTTGGGTTAATGGTAGATGATATGTCATTAAAAAATCTCAATACCAATCAGCCAGATACCCTGCAAAAAATGAACAATTCTTATCTGGTTAGTAGACAATCCCATACCAAAAGAGTATTCTGGATTAGTTTCTACCCATCTTTCAGATTGTTCCATTCACATGACCATATCCCATTAACATCCCATTAACATCCCATTTCCTATGGTTTTTCGGGTTTTCCTATGGTTAAACTACCCATCTTTCAGATTGCCCCAAAATAAATGGGATCATCCCAGTTTTTTTTGTGGGATAACCCCACGAATTGGACTCACTATCCCTGTGGATCCAGTTGTACTCAGGAAGTACGACTGGGCTATGATGACTGGGGGGTTAAGGGATATGTGTATATATATATATACAAGGTGGTGCCCCACCAGTTAAAAATTGGTTTATAAGCCCATGAACTATAGATGCATCACCTATAAACTATAGTTATTGGACTTATAAACTAATTTAGCTAACGAACTGGGGCACCACCTTGTATACATATATACGGATATATATATATGGATATATATGGAAACCATATGGACAACCTATGGAAAATCTGGGAACCATGGTGATTTTTTATAGGATCATCGATGGGATTTTCGTGGTTTGGATTTAGGCAACTTGTAACTGGGCATCACCTCCTAGGAACCCTGTGGATGATATCAACCAATGGTGCCCCCAGTTCTGGTGCCCCCGGTGCCCCGTGCCAAAAAAAACAATTAGTCTATGTATGTTGGTGCAGGGACAATTAATCTATTAATTAATCTATGTATGTTTTATTAATTAACCCCCTAATATTAATCAATTGTCATGGTTGTTGGTTTAGCGCCAGGACAATTAATCTATGTCTGTTTTTTGAATCACCATAAATCCAAGAATTAATCTAAGTATGTTTTTTGTCTACTAGCTTCCTATCCGGGGCAGCATCTATAGAGATGGAATGACTTTGTGAAGGGCTTGCCACCAGCATTTTGCTGCTTGTGGCAGGCTCCGATGACGGATTTGAAGCTCCCTTGCTCTGGATGCCAAGCTTATCATGAAATCCCGATTGGAATGACCCATCAACAATCAGCCAACCTTTATGGATAATGAGATCCCCATTTTCCCTGGATTGTATCATCAGAAACATATATATATATATATAAATTGATATGTATATGTATATATATATATATAGTCGCAACCCCCCGAAATATGGAAAAAGGGATTCCAGGGTGGTAGTTCGATGATGTCTTCCCTTATATTCCATGTTTCCGATTTTTTCAAAAATATTATCCGGGTTGCTCCATGGCCAATCTTAGATACCCTGCCAAAAATGACAGATTCTTAGCTGGTGAACGTATATAATCCCATACCAAAAGACTATTCTGGATTAGTTTCTACCCATCTAAGATTGCCCTAGGCTATGCCATATTCCCACTCAACTTCCTTTGGGTCAACCAGCAGCTGCCCCAACACCTCGGCTTCTCCGAGAGACAATGTCGCCAGTAAAGCCGCTGTCGGCCGTACTACAACCTCAGCCCAAAACAGCATATGTGAAATCTCAAGAAATGCTGTGTTTGTCTGAAAATACCCGGAAAACACATCTGGTTCATGGTTTACATTGGAAATTCATGGGAAAACCAAACAAAAATAGAGGTTCATATGGGAAAACATCACGATACCAACAATGGTAACGGTAATAACAGTAACATCAATAACAAACATGAAACCAGCACTAATAGTTATGGTAGCAACCGTTTTAATATTAATATCTACTAATCGCGATCATCGTCGTCATCATCATCATCATCGTCATCATCATCATCATCATTATCATCATCATCATCACCGCCATCATCTTTACCATCACCACAGTCAGAAATTGCAGAGTACATCCCCAATTTGGGTTTGTCTGAACATAGGGTGCCCTAAGATGCGATGACCATCATTTTCCTATTAACATTTGGAGGTTTCCTGAAGTGATACCCTAAATCATCCAGTCGTCATGGATGACCATTACTTAGTATTGAAACCCCTGGTGACTTGGGGATTCCCATTTGAGGAAAGCACCATATATACCCTCTGATTATTTAACGCTATGGAATGCTATGGAACATGGCCCATTTACAGAGTATTTGCCTAAAAAATAACTGATTTTCCATAGCAATGCTGAACATTCAGACACCATTGATAGTTTTATATAATCTTCCCATTGATAGTTTTATATAATAAATCTTCCCATTGATAGTTTTCTAACTACTATTAACCACTATTAACCACTATTAACCATGATCTAAATTAACCAACCATGTTGCGCACCAAGCCCCAACTTCTCAACGCCGCAGCTTGGCCTCCGGACCCACGCTACCAGTTTCTCCGTGCAGGATCTGTGCCGTGCTGGTCACCGAGTGCGGTGCACTGGCGAAGCTCACCGCAACAGTGCTGGAGGCATCGCCTGGGCAAAGTGCCAAGATATATATATATATGTATATATATACAGGATGGGGCCCCCAAGATAGCTAAGTTGCCTTATAAGTGGCTTTATGGTAGATATAACTATAGTTAATAGGGGTTATAAGGGTTTATAGACCCACTTATAACTGGGGGGCCTCACATTGTATATATATATATTATATGTATGTATATATATATTATGTATGTATATATATATATATGTATACACCCTGTGGATCCAAGTACCTTCTCAGGAAGTACCACTGGGCTATGATGACTGGGGGGTTCAGTACCTGCTCAGAAAGTGGCCATGGATCCGTAAGGATATGTGTGTATATATATATATATGGATATATGTGGAACCAATATGGACAACCTATGGAAAATTTGGGAACTATGGTGATTTAATAGGATCATAGATGGGATTTTCAGCTTGGGGTGTGTCTGAAAATTTGAGGGGAAACCCCTCAAACTTGATCCTATTGTGAGTTTTGGGCTATTCGCCATTTTAGGACCCAACTCTTTGGGAGTGTGGATGACTTGAGAGACTCTGGGTAAAAGATGTTTTGAAGTGGAATTCACTGGATACGATCTTGATTGGTGTAGTATACTTGTCCATTTCTGATTTAATTCCTCAAGGAATTGTTGTGGTGCCCCAGGTGGTATGGATTGTATACCTAGCTGGGGTGGCAATATATATATATACATAAATAATATATATTATAAATATACTGTATATATTTTGTTGTTTTCATATATACATAATAATATATTAATATATAAATATATATATATATATATCCGTGGCATGAACACATGTCTACAAGGCTGAAGGACATGTCACTGGTGCAGCAACGAAATGATTCACTATATATATATACACATATACATACCTGGTGGTAGTATATATACCCTCTGGTAATTTAACATAGCTATGGAAAATCACAATTTTTCATGGGAAAATCCACTATTTCAATGGCCATGTTCAATAGCTATTTTGACATAACCAGAGGGTATCTGCTAAAAAAACCAGCCATTGGCGCCGGTCAGAACGAACGAGCTTCCCAGCATGGAGCTTTACAGGCGCTGATGTCTGCCTAAGAAGCCGAGCCGCAACGCGGAACGGCTCGGAGGGTTTGTGCGGGTTTATACGGGCAATTCCACCAATGGGAATTTCAGGATCCTAAAATGGAGGTACGTTAGTACCATATTTCAGGCCATATTTTGTGGGGATATTCCCTGAAATTTAGGCCTGAAAAATAGGCCTTATATATGGTAGGTACCTCCAATTTAGGATCCTGAAATTCCCATTGGTTCCATTATAAAAATATCAAGCAACTTATAGCTATGGTAGATATAACTATATTCACTCTGGAAAATCAGCATTTTTAATGGGTTGATTAGGGGGTTCTATCTATAGTTCATGGAGTTTATAGAAACCAACGTTCAACCACATCACGTTTAGGGGAAAACCATGCTGTAGGGTGAACTAATATATAGATGTTTAGTTGATGAACTGTTTGACTAGTAGATCTATAGAAAAATCCCATCCAAAGTAGTTATATATAGTGACTATAAAAGGTCGTTGATAGTAGGAACATCATGGGATTTAAGGCGAAAATTCCAGGGGTATCCCATCCCCCATTCATATTCAATGCCCCCCATTCTATGGTCTCAATGATGTGGAAATTCCCTACTCAAAACAAATTCCTGAAGCCTTCTGACATGACATGGCTCAGCTAAGATGCGCAGCAAGCATGTAATATTTAGACATATTTACCCTCTGGTAAGCTAACATAGCTATTGAAAATGGCCATTTCTAGTGAGTTTTCCCATGAAAAATTGGTGATTTTCCATAGTTTTTTGTTAACGTTTACCAGAGGGTCACTGGTTCATCTACTTCATCCATGGAAAAACCAGTCAACCAGTCTCCGAGGTCAACTGGTTGTAAAGATCCAAGTGGTTTGTTGGTTGCCCTCCGGTAATTTAACAAAAAACTATGGAAAGATCCACCATTTTTAATGGGACAATCCACTATGTCTATGGTCATTTTCAATAGCTATGTTAAATTACCAGAAGGTACCACACAATGATTGAAGATAGTTGATGCTTGAATCAGTTACCGCCTGGTTATTTAACAGTTTGCCATGGAAAGATCCACTATTTTTAAGAACGGTAAACCATCTATTTCTATGGGCCATCTATACCATGGCTATGTTAAATAACCAGAGGGTAAATCGCTATTCTTGTTGGTCAAACCACCAGTTTGTTCCGGATATTTTCTTATTCTCTACCACTATTTCTTACATATGGATTAGTCTGAACCTAGGATATCCCTAATTCCATGTGTGGGTCATCCTTCAATATTTGAATAGCAATATGTACAAGGTGGTTTTTCCCCCAGTTATGTTTGTTGGTTTATAAACCATAGTAAGTATATAATTATATATATATTTACCATAAACCATACAGTTAAATTGGAATTATAAACGCACCAACTTAGCCAACTATGGGTTAACATATGGGTTTGAGAATAGGAACCCCCAATCTCCAGTTATTCATCTCTAGATCCCTAAAAACGGCAGGGGGGTCAAAAACATGATTTCCCTAGGGACATCCCTTATCAAAGCCAGTTGCCGTGACCAGGCCCTCATTGCAGGTCAAAATGAGATCGCCCACAAAGCCTCCGCGGTTTATGGCGCGGTTGGTTTTCTCCATGGAGTGGTGGGAAAACCCATGGGGGAAATCTATGGCCGATCGCCACTTTCTGAGGTACAAAGTTTAACCCCCCCAGTCATCTTCAGTTGGATGATTTTCGGATTAATGTGGGTAAAACCATGTCATAAATAACCACCCACGACTGGGAATTTATGGTGGTCTGCCTGGGGAATGGTGCAAATGACATTGTTCTAGCCTCACATTGAAGGATTATCCGTGTTTTTTTCCGATGAAATCTAGGGAGTTTTACTCACGTCGAGTTTCCTGGTGAAGCCAATCCATTAAGAAACATGTGGATTTAACTTCAACAAAGAATCGCGGTTTGACCGTGAGCGAAATTAAGATTGAATTCACATTGGGGACCTAGATAAAATACACTTTAACATACCAAACAAAATGGGAAAAACAGAGATCCACCAGCTGGACACATCTCACGTGAAACATTGCTTTGTCCATATTTGTTATACGTGAGGATTTCATCAACAAATATGGAAACCGTTTCTTTTTCCTTAGGAAAATGACCCCAAAAAAAAGGTGACCGTTTTTCCATAGGGTGATCTAACCCACCGCCACCGGAAAGATACGAGTACTCAGCTGCGACAAAGTGGTGACATAGATGTGCTCAATGCTGTCAAATGGGCTCAACATAGACATTTAGGGTGTAAGAAAACTCAACCTTTGATTTTCAAGGTACAAAAATGTACGTTCAACCAGCAAAAGTGGAGGGCAACTTGAACATAGTTGTGGGCATACAAGGAAAACTGAAAACAATTCTCAAACCTCATTGTGGTGTGCCAAGTTTTCGAACATGTTAGCTAAGTTCCAAGAAACTAACGTAGATCATAGATATGGAACACATTTATCTGGTTGGTGGTTTCAACCCCTCTGAAAAATATGAGTTCGTCAGTTGGGATGATGAAATTTCCAACTGAATGGAAAGTCATAAAAGCCATGTTCCACACCACCAACCAGTAATCCCATTATTAATCCCATCATTAATCCCATTATTAACCATCATTAACCATCTATATATATATATATCAGTTATTAAGGAAACATCAACCATGGAACCATATCATTTAACCATCATTAACCATCTATCATATGGGTGAAACAACCATGGATTTCCATGGCTATGTTAGCCTACTGGATGACCAACGATTTAATTTTTCGCAGCGCAGAACCATATTCGGGCCTCGCGACGAGCCATTGAACGGTGATTCAACAGTAACTGTGGGTAAAATTCAACGGTGGTAAATATAGTTACCCTCCAGTAAATTAACATAGACCCTGGCTGATAGGGGTTGGAAGACTAGTTTCCTTTAAAATGGGTGATTTTCAGGGTCTACGTTAATTTACTGGAGGGTATATGTAATATCAACCATATATGGTATATGTAACTATTTATTCAACTATATGGTCTATGAATATCAACCATACAGTAATATCAATGCTATATGAATGTAACTGGGGTGATAAAAATGAATAATGGTATATAATTCAACTCAACTGGTATTCATACAACTGGGGTGATTAATGTGGATTGATGTCGGTATACTAATGGTTAATGATTATCAATGTATATGAATGGGACATTATATAGTTAATGACTAACCGAGTGGTTATAGAGTCATGGGATTTAATGAACACAATGCCCATGACTGGGAATGGTAGACATACCACCAAAAAATATTTATGGTGGTGACTGGGATGGTTTATGACATTGTTTTACGCACATTAATTCAACTAGACTGAGACAAGGGTCCACTTTCCCAGTTCTCAGAGCAACATCCAACTTCTCTAACCCTTAGGATCCTTAATCAGCGGTTCCGGTTTACCGTTATTTAACGATCCACAATCAGAGCCATCCACACACCATTTTGTACCAAACATCCTCGCGATTCAAGCAGGTCTTTGAAATGATGCCAGTCTCACCAGCTAGGTGTCCTCTTGTGATTCTGCCTTTTGGCAGCCTTCAAATCCAAACTACCGCCACAGAATGGATCGCCCCATGTCACAGGGTAACCGCCCGGAAGGATGGCAACAAATGCCCCGATCGTAGCTTGCACCTGTTGGACGTTTCGAGTGCACCGATCTGTCTCTCCACCGGCCTCTGGAGCGCCCCATGCAATGACAGATCCATCTTGCAGCATTGCGGCAAATGCAGTTTCTGTGGCTTGAACCTGTTGCACATTTCTGAGGTCGCTTTGGACTTCAGAGCTATCACCCCCATCTTCTGCATTGCCCCATGTAACGACCGATCCATCTAACAAGATCGCGGCGAACGCACCCTTTGAGGATTGAATTTGCTGCACATTCCTCAGCTGATCTTGCACTGCCGAGCTGTCACCACCGGATTTTGGGTCACCCCAGGCAACGACTGATCCATCTGCCAGGATCGCAGCAAATGCGCTACTTGTGGCCTGAACCTGCTGCACAGTTTTGAGCTGATCTTGGACTCTGGAGCTGTCACCACCTCTACTTGGAACTCCCCATGAAACCAGTGATCCATCCGCCAGGATGGCAGCAAAAGCGAAATGTATGGCTTGAACTCGCTGCACATCCCTGAGCAGACCTTGGACTCTGGAGCTGTTACCACCACCTCCTGGCGTGCCCCAGGTAACGAGTGATCCATCTGCAAGGATGGCGGCAAAAGCCCCCCATGTGGCCTGAATCTGCTTTACATGTTTGAGCTGATCTTGCACGGCAGAGCTGTCCGCGCCGAAGTCTGGATTGCCCCATGAAACCACTGATCCATCGGCCAAGATCGCAGCAAATGCCCACCTTGAGGATTGAATTTGCTGCACATTCCTCAGCTGATCTTGCACTGCCGAGCTGTCACCACCAGATTTTGGATCACCCCATGCAACGACTGATCCATCTGCCAGGATCGCAGCAAATGCGCTACTTGTGGCCTGAACCTGCTGCACAGTTTTGAGCTGATCTTGGACTCTGGAGCTGTCACCACCTTTACTTGGATCGCCCCATGTAACCAGTGATCCATCCGCCAGGATCGCAGCAAAGGCGAACCATGTGGCCTGAACCTGCTTTACGTGTCTGAGCTGATCTTGCACTGTGGAGCTGTCACCACCATACTCTGGACAGCCCCATGCTCGGAGTTCAATTCCATCACCTTCAGGACACCAGAGCGCGAAGGCTCCGTATGTTGCTGCCACTTTGGGTTCCACCCGAACTGCCGTGATAGTATCTCCATCTTTAAGACCTGCCACTTGCAAATCATCTTCAGGATCCGTCAGTATGCGACCTTCTGCAGTCACCAGCCTCAAGAAACGTTGTCCACAAAATGCTTCAGCCCTTGTCCTCAAGTGCCCTACCGTGGACGTCTGCCTCAGGGACCAGCTTTGGCTACGACCGCTGGGCAGTGCTATGCTGATTTCCCACTTGGCCTCAGATGGCGAAGAAACATCAAGCGTCTCCAGGTGACGACGCCTACAGCAGCCGGACCGCCTCAAATAGTGAAGAAACATCTTGAGCCAGGCTGCAGCTGGGTATTGAGCCATATTGAGCCCAAGATGCAAAAAGGATTCCATCCTGATCATCCTGATGCTGAATCTGCGAACCTTCATAGATGGCTCAAGCCAGTTTGCAATTCGAAATGATGTGTTAAAATTGTGCCAACTACTGACTATGGTTTCTGTTAACCAACGTTCACATCACTGGGGGGGCACCACATTACTGGTGACTGATAGATGTGTTAAAAATGTGCCATGGTCATCGTGGTCGTCGGAATGCATAGGATTTTCTAATGGCTCATCGGAATCCTCATAGAAATGAGGTGTATAAAACAACCTCTGAGAGATGGATTTTTCCCACCTCTCCCAGGCCAGGCAAAACCCAAGCATGATGTGTCTGTCTCTGAAGTTGCAATCAAACCCATCTCTTGCTTGTTATATATATATATATATTAAATTATATAAACTATACACATACTATTGTATCTTACAATAATATCCCTATAAAATGCTTGGCTTTACATATACTCTCTGGTAAACTAACATAAGTTGTTTGCTGAACCCACTTTGTTTTTACATCCCCAAGTGAGCCATTGAACATAGCCCTATCTTATTTCACTATACTAGTTGGCTTCTTGTTTCCCTACTATGGGTTATCATCCCCATTAGCCGATACAGTATGTTCTCACCTTTCATAACCAACCAACCATGGTATTTTCATGGTCAATCTTTGACAGTCCACAAAAAAATAAATACGTTGCTGGTAATGGTTACCCTCTGGTAAACGTTTACGTAACGAACTGGAAAGATCCGCCATTTTATAGCTGGGTAAATCCACGAACTGTCTATGGCCATGTTCCAGTTCGCAAACTGTTAAGCTGTCCAGAGGGTCCCATTAAAATCACCATTTTGTTGGTTGAACCCCATTAAACCATCATTAAACCACCATTAAACCACCATTAAACCACCATTTTCCTAACCATTGAAAATCCTAACCATCACCATTTTGTTGGTTCGATTTAACTCTCCAAGGTTGGGGATGGGATGAAATCACCGCCACGTGCAGCACTGCTTAGTCACGTCAAAGGCTAAAAATCCAAGGTTGGAGATGTTAATAAGGGTTGGTAAATGTCCCTGATTTTTTCACATCACAAAAAAATATTCTGGAGATTTCATATCCAAGAAATACGGCTGTTTTAGTGATGTGAAACAAATCGCCAAGCCATGGGACATTTACCAAACCCTGATGATTGTCTGGTTGGTGGTAAACCTACCCCTCGGAAAAATATGAGTTCGTCAGTTGGGATGATGAAATTCCCAACTGAATGGAACAATAAAAGCCATGTTCCAAACCACCAACCAGTAGTCCCATTATTAATCCCATTATTAACCCCATCATTAACCAGCATTAACCATCTATATATACATATATATATATATATCAGTTATTAAGGAAACATCAACCATGGAACCATATCATTTAACCATTATTAACCATCTATGTATATATATATATGTATCTGGGTA